AGGACATCCTCGAAGTAACTCATACGTTTGTTAACGTACAACTGACCTCAGAAGGGTAAAAGCAGGTTTTACACCTAAAACTTTATCTCACCATGGTGATTACGGTAAAGGACCTTGCTTCAAATGACGATACAGTTTTGTCCAAGATGGTGGATGGTTTATTGTTCATTCATATCATTTGCTAGCAATATGATACAAGTAAATGATGACGTCTCTCTCTCTCTCTCTCTCTCTCTCTCTCTCTCTCTCTCTCTCTCTCTCTCCCTTTGTTTGCATTTTATAAAAAAAAATAAGAAATTTAATTCTACCGACCCAGTCTTCCCTGCCTTCTTTGAGACTCGAGGATTTGGTTTTCTCAACTGAATTGATAATATAAATCGGCCACCGTAAAGAGTTTCTAAAGCTGACGTTTCGAGCGTTAGCCATTCGTCAAAGCGAATGTTAAATAAATAGTAATAACAGTTGAATAATCGTTAGGGATTTAAGTCAAATCAAGAAGTTAAAAATCCTCTCTTAGTTAAATGATTTGATGTTTAATAATAAAAGAAAATGTGTGAATCGCGAAATAACTTTGAGCGGAAAAGCTGAAACTTACAAAATGCTAATTCCTTCTCTGTAACGTGAACAAAACGTCCAATATCCTGCCCCTCTAACGAATGCTTTGATAAATCAAAGGAAGCACGACGTGTGTTATTTTTTCAATTTTTTCATGCATTGTATAAAATCATCCGAACTTTTAATTGAGCTTTTACGAGACAAAAAAATCATTAGGAAGAATCATGCCTGTTCTGCGACACAAATTACATCTCCGTAATTTGTTTAGAAATCAAATTGTCGACGTGATTGAACGGAATCAAACCTTCAAGACACAGGATGAAAGTACAAAAGGTTGTTCAAACAATTTAATCATTAGTTCGGTTTTTCTTCACTAAAGTAATTATGATATCTCCCTTCATTTACTCAATTTGTGTTTGTATTTAATCTCATTCACTTTTGTAGCTCTATATAATTTTTCCACTGCTGGATATAAGCAAATAAAATCCGTTCATCAAAACAGAATAAGATTTGATTGAACGCTTCAGCGCAATTAAACTCCTATTTGTGGCTTTCAAAATTTCAAGCCCGTTTTCTTCCGAAAAGAATAACCTTTTCTAACATCTAGTTATCTCTCTCTGAATTAAAACCACAGAAGTTCACACTTGGATAATAATTTTATTCTATTTTAAAGAACCTACAGAACGTCGCAACAAATTTGGTCAAGTCCGCGATCGGAAATAAAAAAGAAAACAAACAAAACTATTGGAAAAATATACACCTCCTTCACCATCACTTATTTTCTGCTGTAAGGAGTCAGTTTTTCAACAAAGTCTTAGAAGGAAACTTTTCGGAAAGTTTGACAGGAGTCAACGATTTTTATCGGAATTAAAACTCGATTAAAAGGGATTGACTATATCAGGTTGAGTTTACGTAATTGGGGTAAATTTTGTACTCGTATTTGTATTGCCCATGGATTCATGACTAAATTTGATAAGGTTTCGTGCGCGCAAAGCGGCGTAGATTAGAGGTTTGAAGAAGACAACAATTTCGCATTTATTGATATTATTACCTTTGTCTAGGATCAGCCAAAGTGCTCTTTTTGTGGTTCAGTTGAAGTTTAAAAAACTTTCTAAGAAAAAAAAATGAAATGTGTTTTTTGGCTGAACATGGACTTTTAGATCGAAAAATGGAAGATTCTTCTCATGAACTTTCTGATGAAGGAATTTTCAGTTTTGGCTCGTATTTCCTTGTCTTTCATAGATAGTATTAAAAAGGCACTATGTTTTTACTGCAGTTACAAAGAAGATACTACAGCACGGAATTTTGCGTTAACCGCTTGAAAGATTTCAATAAACGTTCTTTGAAACTCTCCGTTGAAGCCCGCGTACACAAAAACGTTTATCATAGCGTTCGTGTATATCATACAAACGGCAACTTTAGTGACTGCAGGTGGCACATTAGACACTCCAAATGCTCCCAGAATATCAATTATTGTGATAGGAAGAACAAGGATTACGAAAAACCCCACCAAAATTATGACCATCCTTGCAACTCGCTTTTGTTTTAGGGCAAATGTCCTGTTACACTGGGGAATGCTTGCTGGCTGATTTCTGCCACTGAATAACATTGCACTCACATTACGATAATAAGTGTTCACACTACTTTCGACCTGCACTTGTTGTACGTGAATGACCCGCAATTGTCTGTGGCTGGCTTTGAGAAGAAAGCAGTTGATTGGTGTGGCCATTATCAACGGCAACAAACAGAATCCGATCAGAAACGCAAGTAAATAGGAGGTGGATAAATTTGTGGAGAAGAAGCACAAACCATGGTTGAGGCGAAGGACTTCTTCGGGAGCTAAGCCGACGCCTACAATGGGTAAAATCGCAAACAATATCATGATTGTCCATCCACTTGCGACCAGAACAGCAACAGTTCTGTTTGTTATGCACACATTGTATTTAAAAGGAAATTTCACTGCTATAAGTCTGTCAAGGCTGATAAAAACGATGTTTATCCTTGATAATCCATCGAAGAGAATAGTCACCGCTATTACAATACTACAGTGAATGGATCCTGGGTGAAAAACTTCAACAAGACGCAAAGGAACAGCCAGGGAGACTGTCAGCAAGTCACATACAGCCAGATCGAAGATGAAATAATTGGGAATAGTTCTTAGCCTTCGCTTGTGAAGAATGGCGACAATTACCAATAAATTTCCAGCGGTTCCCACAACGGATACGAGCACCATGAATGCGGTAGTGAGAGCTGAATCAATCGACATCTTGCCGCAGTCAGGCTGTTGCAGGTATATATTTGCAGTGTTCGAGTAAGGCTTAAGCTGTCACAGATAAGGTGAACAATAAAGATATACTATTCATTTTAGCTTTATAACCAATCATTGTGTTTATGGCGATCTTAGCTGATAGAGATGGATCGATGTTAGCCTTCGTTTTCAGTTTCAACTGATGTTCAAGTCCCCGGTCTCCCACATTTAAACGTCACTCAAAAATTTCAATCTGAAGCCCCATATAGTAAAAACCTAATTGTAAATTGATTAGTTTTTGTCTTTTTCTGGATGAGGCTTTTCAAAAATTGTTTGTGGTTTCTGTCAATCTGTTGTTCTCAATCATTAAAAATGCTAATATGCTGACCTCTTTTAGAATAAGAAAAAAATTGCTTCAAGGACGAAACGTTAAAACACTGAAGCTAAAGCTGATATTTTTTTTTCCAAATAATGTCAAATATTCTCTATTTGCGTTAGAATAGAAAAACTTTTAGGGATATTAATTTCTGATTTGATAATCGTACTCAATTTCCGCTTATTTTGAAGAAGAGAGTAAGTCGTTAATCAAGCCTTTTTCTAATCCTTAATGACGTTAATCAAGTCTTGATGGAAAGTGTTCCCTACGTGCGAGAAACGACAGAATATATTATCGATATTTTTATTGACATTTGAAAATTTCTTAACCTTAAGTCAAATTCGAATTAACAGCAGCTCAGAATACTCGATTAAAAGTCAATGGAGAAAATATTGAACTTGGGACCAAAACTAATTGTTGGCGAAAATTTTTCATGATTTTCATTATTTCTGTCAGACCAAAATAACGCTAAAATTACCTGTAACTTCCTCCAGTTGGAAAAGACTGTAATTCTTAGGTAAAACTACAATGGTTCTAGTTAATTGTTCGAATAAAGTGAATTAGTTTCATTCCATTTATGTCAATAAACCCTGCCTGATTATGATTCTTCTTTTAAAACTAAAGCTCTCCACTGGAAAAATAGACAAAAACAACTTGAAGATTAGCATATAGGACAAATTCTTCTTGAAAGAATCGAAATTAGAATCGAAATCCTTATACCATGAGCTCGGAAATCAATTCAGTAAAACATTTGAATAACCGCATATATGACACTGACGGACGAAGATATATATATATACGACGGACTATCACCTATAGAAAAATTGAAATCAGGGATGTGATAGGGTTCGTGTTTTTAAATTACCGTTTAGCCCGACCGATATTTGCAGCTTATCTCTGTTGATCTAGTATTTGAATTTTAAAGACCGATGTGATTTTGTTATGTAGATGGTAATTTCCTGATGGATATGAACGTAAATCTGTACCGAGTACTTAGAAAGTAAAGCAAGAAAATTGGGCCAAACACCATCATTTTCTCATAAGTAATGATATATCCCTGAAAGCAAGCTTGCAGTGTTTCTACGCGTTCATTTGCACTGGAATCGTAAAATCGCTTGGCAAATTTTGCGAACGTGGCCAGTGTCTAACCTGCGGCGTCAAAATATTGATGATCTGATGATATGATTTACGAACGTTAAGGTTAGCAAACATCTTTGTTTTCCTCACAATAGTGGGCATCCTTAATCAGATATAAAGTATGATAATGATGCTCGTTTTCCATCGCAGAATATAAAGAAATTCCTGGCAAGAAATCCCACTCTTGGCGCTTTTCTCCTCTTTCGAATTGATGCTTGTCATGATCAAAGTTAAGAAACGATGGTTATCATCTCTTTATCTTTTGCATTTCATCTTTATCACTGAGCTAACCGCCTCCCGGTTAGCTCAATGGATAGGGCGCTGGACTGTAGTGCGGGAGGTCGAGGGTTCGAGCCCCGGCCGGACCAACACTCAAGGTCTTAAAATAATTGAGAAGAATTTGCTACCTTTCTATAACATCAAGAAATGGTTAGATATTCTAGTCTTCTCGGATAGGGACGAATAAATGGAGGTCCCGTCTCCTGCAGGGTTGGGGCAGGAGACGTTAATTTCCCACACACGAGATTACTGTGTGATGGATGTCCTCCCCTGGGGTGGGATGGGTGGGTTAGGACAGCAGGTCCACATCAGCTATTACAGCTGCCAATTAATCAACCTGCTTAAACAAATAAATGAACTTCAACTTCAAGTCTGCCGGAATAATGTTTGTAAAGGGATACCTTGACGTAACGATGAAGGGAAAGTTAAAAGCTTCTCCAATAAAAATTCCCTGATTACGACTATTCAAATCTCAGCCAAATATATCTACGTTTTGTCTATGTATGGTTCTACCTTTTTAAGTGGAAGGAAGTTCAGGGATTGGACAAGCAGTGACGAACGCAAAGTCTATTACGACGCCGAACATGACGGAACTGTTTTTCATTAACAGAACCTCCTTTTTTTTAGATTCATTCATGGTATTCAGACTTGTACCAGAACTTTCTCCAGATCAGTGTGAAGAGAGAGTCTTCCACTCCAACGAGAAATTCGAGAAACCCGCTTTTCAATGGCGGTGTTGTTTTGAGGATGGCAAGGAAATCTGCTAAAATTCATCAGAAAGTACTTCACCTTATTAAGCTTTATGTCTCACAAAAGTCTCCTGGCAGTACATCGATCCATTAGGTGAGTGTCACGTGTAAACGAAGATAATTTCCCTTAGTTTTGAATCTTTTACATAACAGGAAGATATGCCCAGTTAAAAGTTCAAACTGGTTTTCAGTACTATAACATTGACTTTATTTCCGGTTATTTTTGTCAATTCCCATTCAGCTGGTAGATCCGGTTGCCCAATTTTCAAGACCATCACACCTAGTGGATTTGGTTGGCAGCTTGCCTGTAAAACTTGATTTATCTGCTGAACTCAGGAGTCCGTAAACCTATTTTGGCATTTTCCGATCTTATAAAGATTTTTTTACTTTTATACAACATTTCTAAAGTTTGATTCGACCTTTTTGTAACCGCTAAAAAGTAGGTGTTGACAAAAACTTTCGATATCGCCAGATCACGGTTTATCAAGTTAACGTGCAGTCCGTTCACTGCACTTAGTGTTCTTGAATAGTGTTTTTTAAAATCGTTTTTGATTAAATATCATTAATACTTCATCAATAAAAAGAACATCATCCTCGTACGGATGCCAATTTATCTCCTTGTGTTAACAATACCTTTAATTCTCTAAATTGTATCATCGCACAACCATGTAATATCCTTTGTTGATAAGGGCATTTCATTAGAGGATTTTACCACCATTTGTAGCTTCAAAGTGAAAGCAAACATTCTTCAAAGTCCGTTATCTGTTAAAGGATCCGGAATCTTTTGCTCGTTTGCGTTTGTTTCTTCTTCTCCTCTTGTTTTCAGCCACGCACGTGCAGTCCCTTTGCTCAATATTCTGAGAACTGGTGCCAGCATTAATTTTCGCTTAAGCTAAAATCGATAAAGTAGAAAATATATAAGCAAACTAGTTCTGGGTGAAGACGATCAGAGATGTAACCAAAAAGAGAATTTAAAAACCTAGTGATGCAGATGTAAAATTTATATATTTAAACGACAAAGATATGCTTTAAAAGTCTGAAAAACAGAAGCTTCATGGCAAAATAGAACGCGATCAAAGAGTTTGAAACTTTTAGACCATCTTCTTTAGAGCTCGACGTTTTTTCTTTATTTCATGAAGAGCCTATTAACTTATTTGTTATATCTTAAAAGACTTCAGTTCAGCAGAACTCGTGCGTCTATCGTGCGTCTATTGTTCGCACTGTGTGTGTGAAACATTGAATGATAAATCTTTACCTTAAACTTTCTTTTACCCACTCTATTATTGCAGGAAAACGCCTCTTCGTGTACGATCAAAGAAGAAAGGATAAAAAGGAAAAATACTACGTAGATAAGCTTTAAATGCGCCATAACTTTTTTTTTCTCAAAAATTGGATCTTGGACTCGTCATGTGAGATTGCGACGATGGGACTGATACGAATACATCACGTTTCATATTGATATATAAGCCCTTCATTCAATGACTGCAAACTTTCCTTCACTTCCATCTTAAGCTTGCTTGTCACATTTGTCGCTTGTTGATTGGTCAGGACTACTTCCTTTCCTGTTACCGCGTTGCTAGAACAAAGCTGTGGAAATACGACTTCGTTTGACTTGTTTCTTCAGCTGTTCTCCCAAATCACTTATGCTTTGGTAAGGTTTCTAATTTCTCACGATGGGCATCAACGTTTTGCTTTCACAGGGGAATCAATGCCTCATGGTCGCCATTATTTGTTTCATTGATGAACAACCCTCTCCTCTCGCGTGATATTCTCAAAAGAGCGTTTACATTCATGTAAGGAAAGAAAAAATTGTGTATAAATGAATAAAAGAAGGGGAAAGCGTCTGCTGAAAAAGGGTTATCTCCCACGCAATGAATGATACTATAAACAGACGCTCTCATATTGCTAAGGTGCGTTTTCTATTACTAGCGTGACGTTCTTTAAAAATGGTTTATTGAGGAAGGTTTGAACCTTAGTCCACAATCTATGGCCTTAAATGTGTGTTATTAACTGAAAGACCAAATAATATTCTTAACGTCCAGCAGGTGATTTAAAACTCGAGGTTTAACTTATCTTTTTGACAGCAACATTCTGGACAAAAAAAGTTATTGTAGTTCCGTTACTCAAGCCGGGTTAAAGACCTCTATGTTAAAATTTTCAACCACGTTCTTTTCTAATGTCACCTTTTAATGTAAATTCTATCCTGGCTTCGTGAACTAAAACAACTATTAACTATTGTACTTTACAGCTGATCGCCAGCTAGGCTTGCGAACGACAAAGAAAGGTTCGGTTTTGCATGAAAACTTCTGTTTAAATCAGTTAGAAAGATAGTAAAAAGGAACTTTTTCTCGTTCACGGAAGATTAAAACGGTCCTAGTTGATTTTTCAAACGACCTTAGACGGACGGAAACGTTACCGTAAACCATTAATGAAAGTGTCTACAGCTGACAGAAAGTCTGAGAAGTTTTTTAAGTGGC